GCCTTAGCAACACGTCTGCCCCTGTTACTGCACGAAGCTATGTACAAATCAGTCTCTTCTCCATTAAACCTAACACTAGGGTGATGTCACACTCTGCCAGTCCATTCGTCACAACGCTCTATGTTTGACTTAATCAGTTGATGGTACCTGAGTCGACCAAATTCTGCAATTGTCGACTCATATATGATTTCAATTTTAAGAGTCTGCAACAATCTGAGATATCGACTGTTGTGATTTAGGGCTATACAAGAATACATTGAATTGAATTGAATTTGGAGCAAACTGGAGGAAGATTTTAGTATTTACTTTGATATTTCACCGAGAGTGTGAAATTATGGTATAAATTATCAGAAGTTTTAAATAAATGTGAACAAAACTCTCTGGTCTTATTTAACGAGCACAAATCACCAGAATGTTTGACAATTGTGAGAACCGATAGTCTTGATGATTCACCCGGGAGTAGAAAATCCTCTTATATACCTTTTAAGTTTCAAATATTCAAAGATCTCATAATGAAAAGTGATTTGTTTTGGTATGTCTGTTGTTAAATATAGTAAGTAAGTAAGTAATGTTTATTTATATAGCACATTTTACAGACCAAGGTCACTCAAAGAACAATGTTCAGAGTTCAGATATTGTTCCAATCATTCCACACACAGTGATGACGGAACGGAAGCGAGTCGCCGAACACACTGGACCTTCAGCCCCCAATCAACACCATCCATTCACTCACTCATTTACATTCATACCTATTGGGCATGTTTTTAGTGGTAGGGGAAACCGGAGCACCCGGAGGAAACCTACACAGACACAGGGAGAACATGCAAACTCCACTCAGAAAGGCCCTGTTCCGACCAGGATTCAAACCCAGGATCTTCTTGCTGAGAAGCGAGACCCAAATATACATATAAAGCTGGTTAATCAATGGTGTTGAATAGGATAGGCTCAAATAATTACAGTCTCTGGCTATTCCCATTTCATTATAAAATAGTGTTTCAACTGTCACTTTGTTCATGTGATGAAAATAAACAATACATCAAAAATATCAATCAGATGGAACTCAAAATTAACTTGTTAAATTCATATTTTGGATGAATTGTGAAATATTTCTGTAATTTTGTCCCTGGGTTTTGTGAGAACAGTTTGGCTCATTTGCATAATCATATTTGGAGCTTTTTCCATGCCCCGCTTTTCTTTGACTGATGGATCGTCAAGTCATGTTTTTAATCGACCAAGAAAGACTGCTTCAGTGACATTAAAAACATCTTAAAAAGGTTGAACTTCCTTCCATCACACAAAGCAGCCAGAATCCAGTGGACTTAACCCTGAACTGTCAGCTCCTCCTGGACGACTTTAGGCTTTGGTTCGGTTCAGAGTGTCTTCAGTTGCTATTGGACGCAGGAGGAAACAGGAAATTCAATTCTGGGAGAGAGTCAGCCTATCGGGTAACAGCTCGCTCTGATGTCATCGACGGATCACTGTTTCATGTCATCTGCAGATAATAGCAGCTGGCGGACGTCTGTGATAGCTCTGTTTAAATATATTTATGGAAAAGTAGTACATTTGAGTTTATTTAGACTGTGTGCCAATGGAACAAGCATACTTTACTTAAATTGGGACAAAATAAGCAATTTTTCACTTGGAATGAGAGACTAAAGTGCTAAAGACTAAAGCTTCTTTTTTGTTTGGAAAATGACAAAAAACACAAGTGATTAAGAATTGTTTGGTGGTTAGCACTCTCGCTTCTTACCAAGAAGGAGCTGGGTTCGATTCCACCTCAGGTCATGGGCCTTTCACAGGGCCTTTCTAAGTGGAGTTTGCATGTTGTCCTCATGTCTGTGTAGGTTTCCTCCAGGATCTCCGGTTTACCCTTCCACTAAACACATGTACTAAAGCTCCCCTCTCTCTATGGCAAGGAATTCCCTGAATAAGAGATTCTGAAGTCTCAGTAGGACTTATTCTGGTTGTTTCATGTTTGTCCGCAATATACATTTGTAATAAAAATAAACACTATTTCCTCCACATGGAGCACCTCCACCACCGCTCTCCTGTCTTCTCATTCCAGACACACGCTGAACCTCTGCGCCTTCCCCAGAGACACGCGCCTTAATAGAGCCGAGGCTGATTGGGTGACAGCTCCGGCGGCGAAAGGCACGAGGCATGGGCCGGTGTGGTGAGAGGCGTGAGGGGAGAGGGGGGGAGAGGGGGGGAGAGGTGAGGAGGGGGTTATTTCTGTGCATGCTAAACATGGTCCAGCACCAGCCGACTGAGCTGGGTCTGCATCAGCGGCTCCACGGCGGGACTCCCCTCCCACGGCTGCTGTGATGCGGCGCTTACGCATTTCACCGCACAAGGTCCCCCTGCATCTGCGCGCGTCGACATTAGCACCGCGCACGCTAGCCATATCACCGCGGTAACAACATCTACATTTGTGAGGGGCAAGCAGGGGCAGAAGATTTTCAGTGATAACATAAGATATACCTTAATTTGTCTCTTGAGATGGGAAATTTCCATGTTGTAGTTGCACACATTACAGCAGAATAGAAGGAGAAATACGAGCTCTTAGGTCATGTAAACATCAAGCACAATCTTTTTATTTAAGATAATAGATATAATAGAAAAATAAGATAATAAACTCTGGAGATATAATTGCGCTCGGTTCAAGGATAAGTCACTTGTGGAGTATACAGTACACACAACATGACCAGATAAACAAAAGTATTAAAAACAGCAGGTAAGGAAACGAGTGAATTATCAGAATAGAATGAAATATGTAATTATGTAATTATAGCTGCAGGTAAAGTGACTGCAGTGAATTCTCAGATATATCGATGAGCAATAAAACATACAACAAGACATTCCTGCACTCAAAGCAAGAGGTGGCAGTACATCGGGTAAATGCCAGCGACAGCGAGGAACATAGAGATACAAGGTGTTCCCAGAGATGTAGACATGTGCCATTTGTGCAATTCTGTGGTGGGTTGAAAAGGAGGGTTTGGAAAATGCAGAGCTTGGATGTGACGCCACTTAAAGATGGGTTTCAATAGGAGTTGGGGTTGAGTGGAATTGACAAGTGGAGAGAATATAGCTGCATTATATGTTGGTGTCAAAATATAATCCAAGCAGAGAGAGAGAGAGAGCAGAGAGCGAAAGAGCAGAGAAAAAGCAGAGAGAGAGACAAGAGAGAGATCAGAGACCAATGAGAGAGACCAGAGAGAAAGCAGAGAGAGACCAAAGAGAGATCAGAGTGAGAGACCAGAGAGAAAGCAGAGAGAGACCAGAGAGAGACCAGAGAGAGAGCGGAGAGAGAGCAGAGAGAGAGCAGAGAGAGGGGGGGAGAGGTGAGGAGGGGGTTATTTCTGTGCATGCTAAACATGGTCCAGCACCAGCCGACTGAGCTGGGTCTGCATCAGCGGCTCCACGGCGGGACTCCCCTCCCACGGCTGCTGTGATGCGGCGCTTACGCATTTCACCGCACAAGGTCCCCCTGCATCTGCGCGCGTCGACATTAGCACCGCGCACGCTAGCCATATCACCGCGGTAACAACATCTACATTTGTGAGGGGCAAGCAGGGGCAGAAGATTTTCAGTGATAACATAAGATATACCTTAATTTGTCTCTTGAGATGGGAAATTTCCATGTTGTAGTTGCACACATTACAGCAGAATAGAAGGAGAAATACGAGCTCTTGGTCATGTAAACATCAAGCACAATCTTTTATTTAAGATAATAGATATAATAGAAAAATAAGATAATAAACTCTGGAGATATAATTGCGCTCGGTTCAAGGATAAGTCACTTGTGGAGTATACAGTACACACAACATGACCAGATAAACAAAAGTATTAAAAACAGCAGGTAAGGAAACGAGTGAATTATCAGAATAGAATGAAATATGTAATTATGTAATTATAGCTGCAGGTAAAGTGACTGCAGTGAATTCTCAGATATATCGATGAGCAATAAAACATACAACAAGACATTCCTGCACTCAAAGCAAGAGGTGGCAGTACATCGGGTAAATGCCAGCGACAGCGAGGAACATAGAGATACAAGGTGTTCCCAGAGATGTAGACATGTGCCATTTGTGCAATTCTGTGGTGGGTTGAAAAGGAGGGTTTGGAAAATGCAGAGCTTGTGTGTGACGCCACTTAAAGATGGGTTTCAATAGGAGTTGGGGTTGAGTGGAATTGACAAGTGGAGAGAATATAGCTGCATTATATGTTGGTGTCAAAATATAATCCAAGCAGAGAGAGAGAGAGAGCAGAGAGCGAAAGAGCAGAGAAAAAGCAGAGAGAGAGACAAGAGAGAGATCAGAGACCAATGAGAGAGACCAGAGAGAAAGCAGAGAGAGACCAAAGAGAGATCAGAGTGAGAGACCAGAGAGAAAGCAGAGAGAGACCAGAGAGAGACCAGAGAGAGAGCGGAGAGAGAGCAGAGAGAGAGCAGAGAGAGCAGAGAGAAAGCAGAGAGAGAGAGACCATAGAGAGATTAGAGAGACAGAGATCAGAGAGAGAAACCAGAGAGAGAGCGCGGAAAGACCAGAAACACCAGAGAGAGAGATCAGACAGAGAGACAAGACAGACTAGAGGAACACCAGAGAGAGAGCAGAGAGACCAGAGAGAGAGCAGAGAGAGAGAGCAGAGAGAGACCAGATACACTAGAGAGAGAGAGAGAGAGAGAGACCAGGGAGAGAGACCAGAGAGGGACTACAGACAGAGACAAGAGAAATATTAATAGATATAAATAGGAGTTTGAACTGTGTGAAATTGGCAAGTGGAGAAAATACAGCTACAGTATATTGTACTTTGGTGTCAAAATGCAGAGATATCCTTCTCATAGATAAGTGCATAAACAGCACAGGGACAGAGGGGTAGCTGCACTGTTCTGTTCCCGTCTCCTTATGAGGAGGATACAGGTGCTGAACAGACTCTACTCCCAAATGTCACGTGTTGCTGTAGCGAGGGTGACATTCATGTTAAAACACAGCCGCACTGACCTTCTGTGGGAGAGGTTTTGAGGCGCTTGCACAGCCCCTCCACTCCCGCGTAGTCGTCCTGGATCTTGACCACCGCCTCCGAGCCGCGCAGCTCCATGAGGGCCCGGAGCTCCATGAGCGAGATGCCGAAGTCCGCAGCATGGCCGCTCTCGTTTATTTGGTTTTTCGCATAAAAATCGCTATTCGACATGTCCCCCATGATGTCGACGCCAGATCAGAATTCTTATTGCTTCAGAGATGAGAAGAGCTGGCAGCAGAGAGCCTCTCAGAGATCCGCATCCAGGTACGAGGCAGAAACATACAGAGATTTATGATCAGAAGAGGCAGAGATAAATCAATAGATGCCGTCTCGCCTTCAGAAGTGAAAAAGGAGACGCGGAGAGGAGGAGGAGGAGGGGAGCATCCAGGTGAACGTGGGACAGCCCAGTGGTCCTCTTCACGGCTGCAGTCCGGTGCCACTCCATCTGTCGTGCCCCATCTCTGCTGTGGTCTGCTCCTGCTGTCTACATGGTGTTCTGCCCCATGGCTGCTGCTGCTGAGGACACACAGACACACAGAGGGAGAGTGAGAGGAGCTCAGGGCAGGTGCTTCTGCTGCAGCGCTCTGCCAACCGCCACTGCTGCTAACCTCATAGTGAGGACACACGCCGAGGAGAGAGGAGAGAGGAGAGGGGGGGAGAGGAGGGGGCGTGGCTAGAGGAGGATCTGCTGCAGAGGGAGGTGTGAGAGGAGATGCTGTGACGACACGACAGATCCAGCCTCCTCTGAGCACAGATCACAGCGAGAGCAGCAGGAGGTGAATGCAGTAAAAGACACCAGACAGAGCCCACAGAAAGAAAGGACCTATGACCAGTGTTTTGGGCGAAAGATTCGAAAAAACCAGACAATATAGCGTTGCTTTTGATCTGTTGGATGATTACTGTTGCTATGGAAACACACCTACCACTGGTTATGAAACAGCTTGCCACACTGGTTCATTGTGTTTTACTGTAACAGAGCATTAGACAAAATATAAAAAGTATCTTTTTGCATCTACGTATGTATTGGACAAGTGTAGACAATCAACATGTGAAACACTACAAAAGTCACAGTCGAGGCTAATTTGCGATGAGACAAGAGAGAGGCCATCAAGAGAGAACAGAGACCAGAGAGAGAACAGAGAGAGGCCATCAAGAGAGAACAGAGAGACTAGAGGGAGAGACATGAGTGGGAGGGACGAAAGAGAAAACACAGAGTGACCAGAGAGAGAGACCAGAGAGAGAACAGAGAGAGAGCAACCAGAGAGAGCCCTGCCCTGCTTAGCTTCTGATGGAATGCAGATGAAATCCGTTGGTGTGTTCATTAAACATGCACTTGCCCAAACAGATAAACAAATAATACAAATCACTATGATCTGATATCGTGTCACTCAGCTGACCAGAGAACACCTAAGGCATTCCCCCGGATGAGCTGGAGAGCTAAAGCTAACCCTAAATCTAAAGGCTAATCCTAAATGTGAATGCCAAATGCTAACCCTAACTGCCAACCCGAGATGCTAACCCTCACAGATGGGAGGGGTGCTGGTCTGGCCCTGCACCAGGCTGAGGACAGAGCAGTATTGACCGGTCACCAGTCATTTACATCTGACACTTCCATCGATGGCATCAGTGACAACAACACTGGCCCAACATCGATCCACTCTGAGATTAAACTGAACATGGTCTGAATTATATTATTAAAGCTGGGGTACAGAATTTTGAGCCTCATAAGTAATCCATGTTTGTCCCAACAGAAAGAGATTTCACACAATGCACAGTCTTCACTTCATTAGAAAATATGCTCTCTTATGTAAGAATGAGCCCTGTGAGTCACTATTTTACGCTTTGGGCTGAGAGCTGAGTAGGACCGGTGGACTGGTCTCCCCGGACCGCGACTCATGAGCTGCACCCCTGCCTGGGGGCCTCCTCAGTCCTGGATCTACAGACTCAGTGCTGGATCTACAGCCTCAGTCCTGGATATAAAGCCTCAGTCCTGGATCTAAAGCCTCAGTGCTGGATCTAAAGCCTCAGTGCTGGATCTAAAGCCTCAGTCCTGGATCTAAAGCCTCAGTGCTGGATCTAAAGCCTCAGTGCTGGATCTAAAGCCTCAGTGCTGGATCTAAAGCCTCAGTGCTGGATATAAAGCCTCAGTCCTGGATCTACAGCCTCAGTCCTGGATCTACAGCCTCAGTCCTGGATTAACAGCCTCAGTGCTGGATCTACAGCCTCAGTGCTGGATCTACAGCCTCAGTCCTGGATCTAAAGCCTCAGTGCTGGATCTTAAGCCTCAGTCCTGGATCTACAGCCTCAGTCCTGAATTTAGGGCGACACAAAAATAAAAAAATGTAATTGAGTGAGGGCGGCCCTCTTTTTTCTGTCCGTAAAAGCTGATCTAAAAATGAGTTGGAGCCAAATGAAAACAAATGTTAGAAACAAACTGCGACCCCAGCCCTGAAACACCAAAACCACCACAGCACCAAGAAAGAGCTTCATCTGTAAAAACTCTTTTACAAATGCAAGAGCAGAATAGGCTTTTCAAGATAAGGAAGGAATGCAACAGTAAAGTACAAGAGTATTTATACCAAAGAGAAACCATCAGACTGCAGGTGGCGTGGTGGGAAGACTAGAAAGAGACCAGGGGAAGACCAGAGAGAGAGAGATCAGAGAGAGACCAGAGAGAATTACCAGATGGAGACCAGAGAAACCAGAGAGACTAGAGAGAATGACCAGAAAGAAGGACCAGAGAAAGACCAGAGAGAGATCAGAAAAAAAAGGCCAGAGAGAGACCAGAGAAAAAGACCAAACCAGGGATCACTACTCAGGCAATCAGCTCTCACACTCAAAAACTGACTCACAGGGAAATGTCTTACAAGTTAAATACGCTTTCTAATAGTAAGTAAGTAAGTAAGTAATCTTTATTTATATACCGCCTTTCACAGACCAGAGTCACAAAGCGGTTTACAATTGTTGTTTTTTGGGCATTTGTCATCTCACTCCACACAGAGATGGGAGCAGGGTCGCCAGTACAGGAGGCACATGCCAGACCTATTGGACATGTTTTTAGTGGTAGGGGAAACCAGAGTACCCGGAGGAAACCTACACAGACACGGGGAGAACATGCAAACTCCACTCAGAAAGGCCCTGGTCCGACCGGGATTTGAACCCAGGACCTTCTTGCTGAGAAGCGAGAGTGCTATCCACTCAGCCACCGTGCCGCCCAATAAAATGGACACAGCATTTTATGGTTTGATTTGACTTCCTGTTTAGAACAACAGCATATATTCAGGTACCCCAACTTTAAAATCTGATCTTTGGGAAAACACAAGTAAGTGTTTCCAGAGTAAATGCAATAATTATTGTCTCTAAACGTTTGATGGGCGCCTTCTGCCACCTGCCAATCAGCTTCAATCACGGCTCCCAAACTTCGCCGGCGCCAAGTTAAGCATCTGCTCTGAATTCAAGGTCGCCATGGAAACACAATATGAACGCTGTGCAGAGATGACATACAGACAGAGACAGGTAACTCTCCAGCAGCAGATTGAAACGGAGAGGAGGCTGACGTTTGTATTTGTGTGATTAAAGTCTTATATTAACGCTGTGTTTAGAGACAGAAATGTGTTTAAAAGTGTATATGACTCAGGTTTTATGGTTAAAGTTCAATTCACTTCAATGAAACTGTGTATCGCCCTAAGTCACAACAGCAGTCATCTCAGAGGTCTTTACAAAGTTGTGGATTCGTCAACTACAAACCAGAAAAATCAAAAAGTTGGAACACAGGAAATGCAATAATGCAAATACATAGGAGTCATTTCTCCATAGCGAGTGAGATGACCACAGTCCAGAAATGTTAATAAATGTCCCAGATCATCACTGTCCCTCCTGCATCAGAGAGAAACCACTCAGAAACCCAGTGGGGAAAAAGTGAGAAACCTCAGTGAGGCCCATATTGAGAGAGCGATCTGCTCCCACAAACGGAAGCTGTATATCCTGGACTGAGGCTGTGTAGATCCAGGACTGAGGCTCAGGGCTGAGGCTGTAGATCCAGGACTGAGGCTGTAGATCCAGGACTGAGGCTGTAGATCCAGGGCTGAGGCTGTAGATCCAGGACTGAGGCTGTAGATCCAGAATTGAGGCTGTAGATCCAGGTCCTGCTGCTGGGGAACACATGCTCTTGGCCTCCATTCACTGTGTTACTTTGTTTTGCATTTTCACACCCTTTTGTTTTTGTCTGCACTGGACACTTTAAAAAAAAGAAAAGAAAAATAAGTGGACCAAGCCTAAGCCTGCCTCGTCAACCTTTTGTGGTTATTCTCACTGCCATCCAGCCGCTCAAAGCCTGTCCTGCTAACAATTGGATCCAGGACAGAGGCTGTAGATCCATGACTGAGGCTGTAGATCCATGACTGAGGCTGTAGATCCATGACTGAGGCTGTAGATCCAGGACTGAGGCTTTAGATCCAGGACTGAGGCTGTAGATCCAGGACTGAGGCTTTAGATCCAGGACTGAGGCTGTGGATCCAGGACTGAGGCTGTAGATCCAGGACTGAGGCTGTAGATAAAACTTTGGAGAATGGAGAAATGTACGTGTTACAATTGGCATCAATAAGATCCCTCAGGACGTGCAAAAAGACAGGAAATGCACAAATGTGTGTTCAAAAGTGATAAAGGGAATCTTATGTGCAATAAAGGTATTTTATGTACAATTAAAACCCGCACTTCTGCAGACTACCACCTCAAACTCACAGCTGCGCAGCCGCACGTTCTGTGGTCTGTGAGTTAGTCGATGGTCGATGGAGTGAGGTGTTTGTCAACTCATTTGTCCTCCATCTTCCCCCGCTGAAGTGCCGGCCTGATGGTGTTAAAAGCAACTTGCTCTCAAAACAGTTTGCTTTATCACTATAGTCTTCACATACATATGTTTCTGGCCTCATCTTTTTATCTGTCGCTTTTTACAGACAGAAAAGTGAAAAAGACAGGACCACCCTCACTTTCTCCCCAAATAGTCAATGACTCACAGGCCTCTTTCTTACAAGTATAAAAACAAAAGTTTTCAAATGAGTTGAAAAGAGGTTTTTAGTTCATATTTTATTTGACCTTTTCTGCTGAGATAAACATATATCTCAACAGGGTAGTTTAAGTCAGCTACCCTGGCTTATACTGGTGTGGATAAATGTAGCTTGGTT